TCTGAGCCCCAGGGGCCGCCGCCGCCGCCGCCCGCCTGGATCCCGCCCGCGGCTGCTGCCGCCGCCCACCATGCTACCTGCGGCCGCCCCGGCGTGGCCGCTCACTGCTCCTGGACCCCTCGCTTGCGGCAATGACAGCCACCCTCGAGGAGCCCCCGCAGTTCAGTGCTCGGACAATTTGAAAGTACAATAGTTGGTTTCCCTGCCCACCCGCCCGGCTTCGTTTGCCATCACATCACGCCTGTCGGATCTGAGTGGAGAATTTTCCCGCGGCTTGAGTTCTCTCTCTCTCTGCATATATATACGCCTAACACCTACATACAATTTTAAAACATTAAATATAATTAACAATCAAAAGAAAAAAGAGAAAAAGAAGGGAAACATTACTGGGTTACTATGCACTTGCGACTGATTTCTTGGTTTTTTATCATTTTGAACTTTATGGAATACATCGGCAGCCAAAACGCCTCCCGGGGAAGGCGCCAGCGAAGAAGTAAGTGCAGGGTTTTTTGTTGTTGTTGTTGTTTTTGTTTTGGGTTTGCTCCCTCCCGCCGCGTTCACCTGTCGGGTCGCTTTGCCTGTTCTGCGTCTGCTCCCAGCAGCAGCGGTCCTCCCGCCCTGCACCCCACGCCTCCCAGAGGATGTAACAGTCTGGGCTTTAGGGGGGTTGAAGGCATCTTTCACGTCTTCCTCTCTGCGCCCCTCTCTTCCCCGGCATCTTCCTGGGTGCTAGAGTCGGACGGACCAGGAGCCGTGTGGATCCCTCCCCCTCGTAATTTCAGGTTCGCGGAAAAGTCTCGACCTTCCTTAAACTCTCTCTAGGGATTTGGGCTTTCCTTCTGAGTCCTGGACTGGGGGCCTCAATCCTAGACGGTCCGGACGCCCGAACTGCGGGATGCCCTGAAGGCTGAGTAAACGCCAGGGGAAGGCGCGGCTGTGGCACCCGCTCACCTCCCCTTGCCACCTCGCGCCTGGAGACCCTCGGCTTGGCCAGGACGCTGCGCTCCGACTGCGAAGCGCCTACCGGCCCGCCAAGGATCAAGGAAGCGGGCGAGCGAGCGACTGCGCAGCCGCTTCCCCCCACACGCAGAAGTTGAGCGGCAGGGCGCGCAGGGCGCCCAGGGTTAGCGTGTCTGCGCGTTTGCACTGCGGCCGGGGGTCCCAAGCCCGGATCTGCAGACAGCTGACCCCAGGCTTATGGGAACCGGAGGTGCCAGTTTTTCAGTAACTCATGCCTGTCACAAGTGAGAGCTTTCGAGTGGGTCCCCTGGGGCAGACACATACGGAGGGGCGAATTCACCCTAAAGACTCAGGCTCGCCTCCTTGCTGCCTCTTTTCTTGACTCCTGTTACTTGTGAGGTTTGCTTGCGAAGACCTCTGCAGTTGTCTAGTTGAGGTTAAACGGGCACCCTCATGGCAGTCTCAAACCCAGGTTGGCCTGTGAAAGGTGGCGCCTTCCCGGGATGAAGGGACGGATGCAAGGGTGGCACCCCTCCTTGCTCCCAAATAGCCCCACGCGCTCGCCGCTCTGCTGTCTGTGCCCGCGTGGGGTGCTCCGTCGCATATCACAGAGCCAGGGGCGGCCCTGGCTCCAGTGTTGGGGGTGCTGGTGGGGAGAGGGAAGGAAAATGTCTTCCCAGGCGCTCGCGGGGCGCACGGAGCGATTCTTCTGCCTTGAACCCTCAGACCTCCGCGGCGGGCGGCCAAAGACGAGCGGTGGCGCCTAGCCACCGGCGCGGAGCGCTCTTAGCGTCTAGCCAGCGAAACCTCTCGGGACAGGAGTGGGTGCAGCGCGGAGGGCACAACACGAGCTTGTGTGAAATGGAGATTCAGTAATCGCTTCTTGGCCGCTGTTCGTCTCTGCCCTGCCCTGGGCGTGAGGGTCCCCTGAAAGCTCCCTTTGTACCTCTCGCCTTGGGCAGACAAGGTTTGATTCACCTGAAATTTGCCTTTAAAAACCGTGACTGGGCCGGAGCCCCTGGCGCTCCGGCCCGGCCTCGCCACCTCCAGGCTCGCCTAGCAGGGGGCAGGAGGGCCTAAACGCAACATGTCAGGACATCCGGTTTATTATTCTTGGCCTCTGAATGGTTTGTATTCTCTTAACCCCGCACCCACTCTTTCACTGCGGCTGTGCGGCCGGCTAACGGGAGGAGCGGCCCGGGGCTCGAGCGGTGCCCTCGCTGCTGGCGGTCCCCGCCTCCCCTCCTCGCAGGGCACGACCAGGGGACTTGAGTCGCAGGTCTTTGGGGAAAGGGAGACCAGGCAGAAGCGCAGCCTCCTACTTTCCATCCGCTCTTCCAGCCCGCGCCCACCCGCCTCCCACTCCCCCTTCACCCCACTGAGGACCCCTGAGGATCCCCAGGTCAGGAGCCACACACTTGCGGGGGCGGGGCAAGGTCCCGAGTGTCAGTGTCAGAAGGGTCTGCGTTTGCACCTTTGGGGCCCCTATTTCCGAAGGGAGACACCGGAAAGAAAGCTTGCTGTTCAGTTCTTCCCACTTCCCCAGCGAGGCTCAAAGTGCTGGAAGCTGCCCCTTGACGCTGCCCTAGGGCTGCGGAGAGCAGCGGACTGATGATGCACCTCTAAGCTTGGACTTTAGCGCTATCACTGAGTCAAAAAGCAAAGTGCTTGTCGACCTGCTTTGGTCGTCCCAAGGTCATGCTAAAAGCGATCTCAGGTTATGTTGTTACAGTGAGAGAGGGAATAGGTGTAACTGGGTTGAAATTCCAATTATTCCGGGGGATTGGGGCTGGGAGAGAATTCCTGCAGAGGATGCGCCTTGCTCTTTCGCATTTGCGTCTGCGTTTGCGGCGGGGTTAGCTGGTTCAATACTGAGAGAGGGGCGACCCCTTGCGTCCTCTGAGGAGACAGACTAGACTTTGTCTTGGCAGGTGCAGCCCGGTTTTTGGGAGACTGGGGAAGGGGTGGAGGATGAGGAGAGATTCTTACTAAATGTCCAGAAACTCGACGCCAAACTGCATGTGCACAAACTCATACGTACTGGCTAATAATAAAAAAAAAATTTGAAAATCTATGAAAGAAATGAATAAAAAACTTTTTCTCAAATAAAGACTTGGAAAACTTTTTAAAAACAAAAAATAAGGTAGTGGTTAAAGGGATTTTTAAAAGACATCATCTTTTTTTTTCCTTCAAAAGGAAACTAAGGTGAATATTTAAGAGTATTTTTGCTGACCTGTAGACAAATAGCTTCACTTTCCAAAACTTCTAAAATTGTTGCTAAAGATATGACAGGTAGAAAATTAAGGTGTAAGAACTGTGTTTTCAGGGTTTCTTCAATGGTCTGTAAATGTTTTAGTTGAAAAATTTCTTGCAAAAAAAAAAAAAGATTCATTTTCCGTGTTAAATACTGTTAAGTGAAAATAGCTATGTCTTATCTTTAGAAGTAACTACTACACCAATATTCTCCTGCTTCCCTAAAACAACAGCTTTTTCATCTGCCCCTACTTTGTTAAAAACTAGTGATCTTGTTTCCTCATAGAAAAGAAACAACATTTTAAATCCAACTCTTCTACTTTAAAAAATGCCTATTGAATTATGAGTAAATAAAAACACAGTAACTTTTTAAATCAATTTGGATGGGTAAGCAGCTCCTAGAAGTGATAAAATTGAATTAATTCAAGATAGAAAATGAAATGCTATCCTTATTCAAAAGTCACCAACCAGTAATGTTTACAGAGGTAAGCCTTAGTTTTAAGGACAAGATGCTAAATTAAGAACCCTGAATTCCATTTTTAATTCATTTCCAGCAAAGCCTTTGTAGCTTGGTAGAGTCAGCCTCTGACTTCCAGGTTATCTGCTAATAAAATTAAAGATCACATTTGCCATAATAAAATAACCACAGTACCTTACAGTTGCACTGCATTTTCACTTGGGTTATCTCATTTGGGCATCTGAAAAGTCAGTGGAAGTATAGAGTCAGGTATTAATATTTTACTGAGAAAGAAACCCAAGAAACAAAAGCTAAGTAACTACACAAAGCCATACAGCTCATAAGTTGAACTTGTCTCTTGCCACGAGCCTCACAGTTATTTAAACTATATGCTAATCTATGTCACAGAGAAGATGTCAGGCTAATTAAATGTTTGATGGTCTCCAGACCATCATTTATCCAATATGGTTGGAGAATAAGCTGTTCTGGCTGACTAAAAATTTTGAACTGAGATTTATATGTATTATGCATTAGTCACCAATATCAAAGAATTAAATAACTACTAACAGTGAAGCATGCTATGTAGAATGCAATATTATTTGATTATTCAGAAGACACTGTAGGATCATACTGTGCTATAAGGCTATCATTAGCAATACCAGATGCCATTGTAAAATCCTTTGTATTTGATGGCATCCATTATTTGAGCTTTAGTTGGATTCCAGATAAATGCAAGTTTTTGAAAAACTTTTATATGCCTAATCACTATTAAGCCCCTCATTACACAATCTATAAAACTTTTAAAAGTCATTCATAAAGATAACTGGTAAAAGGAACAAGAATACAAAGGAAATCATTTTAATGGTAATAAAATAAAAACAAAGGTTTATTGGAATATAATGGTCATTGTTCATTACATTGTTTCAGATGTTGAGACAGTCTTTGAGATTCTGATATACTCTTCTTGATTATATTGTTAATCCTGTAAAATACAAGTTAACTAATAAAATAGCATTATCTAGTTTTATTTACAGTTTGTAATATTATTTGAATGAAAGCATGGCTAGGATATTGGTTGCAATGCACTTTTTTCACCTATCTGCTTTTGTCACCATTGTATCTACTTTTTGAGAGAAACATTATTTTACAGATGGAGACATGGAAGAAAATACTAGAGAAAGTATACTCAGCCACGTATTATTTGATATCTTTATTAACCAAAGCCACAAATTCCACTCCATAAGCAGTACTGGCAATATCTAAATGCAAGCAAAAGACATTTATTTTTTGTAAACTCTAATGATACCCCTTTGTTCTATTATTTTTATTCTTTATTTCTTACTTCAGTAGAAGAATTTCACTAAGAATATTAAAAATCATTTAAAAAGTAATGCCTTTGTAGCTCCAAATTACTCTAAGTAAAGTAATTGGAAATATTAGAATGAATGTGAAACTTATTTAATATCATTCAATATTCCTTTAAGCATGAAATATGAACAGTATTTCAGCTTATAAGTGCATAGGCTTTGCTAAATCATTTGCCTATTAAACATTTCCCTGGCATTTAATATTCTACAAATTAGGTCCCTAGAAAACAATGAATGGAAATTACAACATGCAGTAAAATTTGATTTTCAAGTTATTATGGGAAAATCCATGCTACACTACTATAAAGTGAATTTATTGCTCATCTGATTATTTTAGACTATTTGAATCTGGAAGGAGATCTCCAGATTGCTACAAAATGCCTAAAGTATTTTCTAGGAAATTTAGTTTAATGGTTCATCTTTTTTTTTTTTTTTAATACAGCATTTTAAAAACTC